AGATTTTCTCTCATTATGATTCTTGCCAAGCAAACTATAAACTAGGTTATCCATTATGCGTTAAGATAAAAGACTACTAGTACTAGCTGGTATTTTGTTTGTCAAACCTACTTGTGTAAATTCTTCTAATAAATCCATATGATCATTGTGCATTTGCTACTAAAGAGACTATCGACGATATATAAATACGATATGAAACAAAGTCTAAGATATGAATAACTCCACTTACATATGGGATAGTTTTCGTGTTGCTAGTATAAAACAACTGGACGGAAGAAAAGACTTATGAAAAATGGACAGACAATATACGATAATTCAAACAACCCATGTCATTCTAGCAACACTATCCAAGCCATATTCAACTTGAGAATACACAATGAACTTACTACTATTTATGTCACTTGCCTTGTATAAGTCTTCTTCAATAGGTAAAACTTGTCTTTGATTCACAAATCAGCAACTTGTCTAAAGTGCATTCTTACATCGGCATGATGTGAAAGTCTGCAAGAGTGAGATCGTTTTTTCCAACTTCTTACCAATCTGAGTTTCCATACTACAAAAAAAGTTATCAGTTCGTTTCTCAATCATCATAAAAAATACTCTTTCGTCTTTCTATTTCCTGAAAAAAAAAGAGTAATGACTTAACAAATTGATAGCGTATTACAATTCTTTAATCTTGTGTCTGGCAATCTATATAAACTGTACTTTTTTATATGAATTGTTCGTGCTTCTTGAAATAACTAGCTTTACACCATCAAAGTCATTTCGTTTGGTACCTAGAACAATCTCTTCCCAGTGCAAGTTGACCAGGTTTTGTTCGTTCGTTCGTAGAGCAGTTTCCATCTGACCTTGGTGTCGAAGAAAATTGATAAACTTGAGTGTACACACTTTGGTAAATGTTTTTTTTTTCTTCTCAGTATGGACTGCCAAGTCTACTGCTTTCTCCCTTTCTTTATACTTTGGTTTCCTCACATAGTTTCAAAGAGCTACAAAGTAAACCTGCTTTCTCTCCTTTTTGGTTACATGGTACTTGGTTGCTTTAATATATATACATATATGTATCTATTATGTGTTTAGAGAGATATAGTCTTGACACCTTGTTGTTCAGTTTAAAAGAAACAAAAATTGAGTCAATGATGATAGATAGGATGTATATCTAATAGCTTAGCAATTGTTGAAAACACTCTGAATATTTTCGAATCAAACAGAAAGGTAGTCGGAACAACGAATTTCGGAGTCTCTACGAAAAGAAAAAGACAATGAAATTTGATAAACAATTGGCAATGTTGGTCAACAGAGTAAAAGCCAGTGAACAAAGAATTCGTGAAATGTATGGACCAGTCCATTCTCAAACGAATAAGAATATGCGAGTAGTAAACAGAAAGCTTTATGAATAAATGGATGGGATGTAACTTTATGTAGTTTTCATTTATGAAAGGCCTACTGAAAGATATTTATTGGAATCCTTGTATCCAGATTGAGGTAAAGTAAGATCCTTGGCAACTTTAAGCGAAACAATAATGAAGGTGCTTCTTATCCTATTGCCAATTACCAAAGGACTGCTAGTCAGTTGAAAAAAGTCCATATCAAATATACAACACCTCAAAATGACTACTGTTCGACAATCAAACCCTTTCCAAATTTTGCAAGGTTTCCTTATTTCTTTCACGGAAACAAAAAACGATTTTACCTTTTAAATTCCAAAGTCTAAACTATTTCGCAGTTGTACGAGACTGAAATTTACGATAGACAAAAAGTTATAAAACAGTATCAGAGGATCTCCTAGGAAATGAAAAAGTACACGTTGACTTTGTCAAAGTTCATAAAATTGTTTTCTTTGTTAAGGCATACAAATAAGTACCTTCAAGTAGTATTTTAAACAAATTCCAACAGGAAACAATTGTGCTTAAAATTGAATTTTCGAGACAAAACAGAGGTATCATTTATCGAAGGAAAATTTGCTAAAAAAAGAATGACACCTAGTGTTCTTCTGTTCATAAAGGTGTAGAACCATACATAAAATGGTGCGAAAATGGAAAAATAACACTTGAGCTTGTTTTGGAAAACTCCATACAATGAAACTAATCGTTCAATAAATGAAAGTTTTATCTATCACCATCTCATGGATCATTTTAACCGTCTCTCTCGATATATTGCTACATTTGAAAAAGCTTCCTTGAAGAACAGTCTTGTAAAAAGTGGAACAAAGAGTGCGACACCAACTTTGACTCGAATGACGTTGTTCATATTTTTTGGTACCTTTTCCACTTTCCCATAAATATATAGTTTTATACTTTTTGTTTCACTCGCTCATTTTTGCACAGAGTTTTCTCGTCTTTTAAAAGTCAAAATGCTTTATCTGCTTGTAAGAGTCAACTCATACTCTCAGGTTTCATTTCTTCCATAGTCTTGAGCCTACAATCCAACACTATCGTTTCTCTATAGCCTTTTTCCAATCCATTTCATATTCGAGCGACAAAATTGAGCTTTGTAAATACAACATACGCTGCAGCAGGCTTGTATATTCTTCTCTCAACGAAGCAAACACAGACGTTCTTTTCTAGTTTTTCTTTTGAACTTTTCAAAAAGTTTCCTATAGACCTATGGTGGTGAGATCTCTTTCACCGGTGATGTTTCTCAGCAATCCAACGTCTATTGATGTGGATATTACGTTAAACCAGATAGTGGTAAACAATAAATAGACCCAGAGTATGCAGCATCTTTTTCCATTTATTGTTTGACAGAAACTCTTGGAGATAGTTTTCAAGAATTTCAATGTTATTCTCGCTTGTGTTTTCAAGTCTATGATGTCAGTAACTGTAAATCGATTGTAAGAAATGTTGAACAATTCCTGGAAATTTTTCTGGGTCTCACCTGTAATGTATTTACTTTATCTTCTTCGATTGACTCCAACATACGTATTCGTTTAACGTGTATACCTCTTCATAAAACTCAAAAAGCATTGCTAGGGCATGAAGAGGTTTTTTTTGCCCATTCCTTGACTTTTAAAAGACAAAGTAGTACTTAATAGAATCTACATTCCAAGACTTGTGCAGATGCAACAGAGTCGCTCTAAAACTAGTCAATAGGTTCTTGGACAGAATGTTCAAAGCACGTCGATACACATTCATAAAGTGTGTAAAGTCAAATGGTAGAAATAAATAAATGTGACGACACAGAATAAACAGATGGACTTGGAGAAAGAGCCGTTGAGGAGGAGTCTTGTCATTTGAAAGAGTAGATTTCTTGGTGATCCATCAATGTTTTTTGTACAACGTCCAACCTGGTTTGCGTCTCTTCTTGAAAAGCTGGGACAATAGCTACAACATTAGGTTGGGTATTATACGAGGAAAAAGTCTCCTTGATTACTGCTAGACCTTTGTGGATAATCTCTCCATTGTTATCGGTAATAAATGTACAAGTTGTTTTTGGCTTTACACGGCATCTTTTTGCAACGTCTTGAATGTTGGTCTCTGTGTTTTCAAGAAACTGAGTGAATCACAAAATATCTTTACAAGACAACGTGAGGTGTATATCCATTTCTGTGGAGTGTTGATATTACCTTGGGAACCAGAAAAGAAAACCAAAAAAGGATTTCATCTATTCTCCCAAAAAAAGAGACAGAAAGATTGATTGGTGTTACAATGAAACAGTCAGTTCCCAAAAAAGGATAAAAAAAGCTGCAACACTATGTTCAACCAGCTGTATTGCTTTCAACAGACTCGACACAACCAATTGGTAACGAGTCTCCGATATGGATGACAACACTCTCTCAAACTATAGGAGAGAATGGGCAAGCAATGTCATCAAGGTTTTGGGTAAACATGGGAAAAGACTGTCGTTTAACTTGATGATGGGTAAGAATCAACAAGGCAGGGAATTCTACAGTAATAGCAATCTAATGAGAAACCAATGCCAAGTCTTGTTGTCTCATCCAAAAAGCAACCAACAAAGATTGACAAATTTGCAGAGAGTTGGTCTTCAAAGACGTTATTGAAGCTTCTATTGTATTTGATCGTAAAGGATTTTCCATGACATAGTTGCAAAGAAGAAAAGGCTTCATAAGGCGAATTCACTTTTTTTCGTTGCAAGTGATTTCTTGGATCTGGTAATTGAGAATAGCCAACCAACATCATGAATTGATATTTGAGTTTAGAAAAGGAGATATCAAGTTGTTAAGGAATATGTAAAGGTGAATTCGTGGAGACTTGTTCAAAGGAAAAGTCTCACAAACGTAGGGGTACAATACGCTTATTGTATGGATAATTTGAGGGAATAGTAGGGGAATATTGTCCCGATGTAAGGGCAGTCCTTGGAGAGTGAAACATACTTTTATAAGTATCACCTGAAGACAATCTAGTAAAACCAAACCTATCTCCAAGGCTGTAGTTGCTGCACTTTTTCGTACAGACATTAACAAGCCCTTGTCGTTGGACTAGAACACAGTTCTTGGCTATGGATAAAACTGTACTCCAATCCTTCAAGTATGGTTATGCTTCAACAGGTAAACAAAAAGTTTTCAAGGGTTCTTTTCTTGTGTTTCTTGGGTGTCTTTGTCTCAAGGGTTCGCAAAGACTTGAGCTTCGAAAAGGACAACTTTTCTTTGACTTTTACTACTTATAGCTTTGTTCAATGTCTTGGTAAACCAAACGATGATATCATTCAACTGGCTACTCAACTCAATATCACTTGTGTTTTTCCAAACTCGTTACTCTCAAGGGTACTTGTCCATTTTTAAGGAGTCATTTCAAACAATATTGAGGTGGAACCTAAACATGTTACAAACTGTGATTTTGCTGAATTGAAACGTATTTTTTTGTTACGGTTATTCAAAACAAGTACTTTTGAAAAGAGTAAAAAATAGCCATTTTTTGTCATTCTTCTCTTCTTTTGCATAGAATGTGTCTTTAAAGCATTGGCTCTTAATGTTTCGTTATCACTGTGGAAATCAAAGTTAACTTTCTTGGAATGATCTTTTACTGTTTCAAATGGCTTTACTCATTTTTACACACACTGTCCTCAATTTCAAACATCCATAATGGCAATTTTCAAATCAACACAATCGCCTTTTGGTTGGCCCCTCCTCCAATTTCCTCACACCCCTTTCCCCACCCATTTTCCCCATCGCAATTTCCCCACTCTCTCCCATTTCCAATTTACCCATTCTTCCCCAGCCCACAATGGCAATTTTCCCAATCAAAACTGCGCGGGCCCATTCCAAATCGGCCACTCTTTTCAAATTGCCCACCTTCTCCCATCAGCAGAAAAAATCAGTAAAAAATGTGTATACTGGCGCTAAACATATGTTATGCAGAATCAAACCCAATAGAAACAACAAAATCTCCATTTTACAGTATACCAATATGATTCAACATTGGGTCAATTCTGGAAACAATGGACTCAAACGACTTAAGGTCAACGATCTGTTTAGAATTTGAAAGTAAGTTACAACTATCAGGAAAGAATTTGGGGATTTTCTCCCATTATGATTCTTGTCAAGCAAACTATCAACTAGATTGTCCTCTGTGTATTTAGATGAAAGAATACTAGAACTCGTTGGTATTTCGTCTGCCAACTCTACTTGGGTAAATTCTTCCAATAAATCCATACAATCGTGAAGCAATCGGTATTAAATAGACTATCGAGAATATATAAATACTATATAAACCAAAGTCTAGGGTATAACGACTCTTCTTATGGGACAGAGAGGTTTAGAGTGACACGATAAAAGATCTTGATGAGCCTAAAAGACTCTCACAATAGACGGACAACCCAGTGTGGTTCAAACAACCCATTTCATTCTATTAGCACTATCCAATCCAGTCCGTATTCAACTTAAAAATGAACAATGAAACTACTCCTATTTATATCACTTACCTTGTATAAATCTTTTTCTATGGTTACAACTTGTCTTTGACTCGCAAAACAACAATCTGTCTAAAGTGAATTCTTAAAGCACCTTTTTAAATAGAGTTGTCCTACTACTATCCTCAGACGCTGGAATCAGTCAATTTTACAAATTCAAGTGCGACTATTTGTCAATTGATAAGTAAATGTGCTAGTATGACACAAAGCAGTCAATCAATGAATCAACAGAAGCCAAACTCAATTCTTCATCCATAAAGATAACAAAGAGTCTGTTGTGAAAGGCATCCTGTACTAGTAAAAGCTGTACCAAGTTATCAACTTGATTTTGTAACAGCTTAATATAACAAAGATAAGAGACAACTTTTTTCACCAAAAAAAGTAAACGGACATAACCATATGTCTCAGCATGACTTGAAGTACTAACAATCAAAGGTTAGGATCAAAGTACTTCTTCTTCAGTTTTCTCAAATCGCTATGTCGATTCAAATCTTTCAAACAACATAAAACCGAATGTTCGCGTTCTTCTATTTAAAATAGGAATGATCTCTAAAGTTGCCGAGCATACAGTTCCTTTCAATTCAGTTGAATTGTCTCATAGGCCTATGATTCTGTAGTTAACTGCGACATTATGCATGTCCCACTATCAAATCAATCTTTGATGAACAGATTGGAGTCAAGTGAATTCTATCAAAACTATATAAGTCATAACCATAAATCTGGATAGTCTGAAAGATACAAGGATTTTATGAAACCAAGTTACAGGATGAGCTGTATAATAAACAGTGAAAAAAAAAAGTTAAGAGTAAATTCAAATAGCATATAATAGGTACTCTTCAAATACAGTATTCATAACAAGAATATGAATTCAAATGAACAAGGTCAAGTCATTCTATTTGACACCGAGTTCAATACAAAAGTGGCCAAGATAGATTGAAGTCCCTCTCTGGACAACTCCAAATTGAGCTTGTAACTAGGCATAACTGATATGATAAATACCAAAGGTACTCTCTTTATGACCAACTCGTGTGATTCTATAGATAAGGCGTAGTGAACAAGAGAATGAAAGGTGCTTAAAGAAACCATAAACTATTCTCAATTCAACGACATTGATCTGATTCTCTCAAGCAAAGCAATTGGCTTATTCTCTTTCTTGATAGCTGATAATCAGTTTATTTTGCACACTCGCTTATTTCTCCTCTCAATACAGTTTAAACTCGGTTCAACATAGCCGAAACTATGATCTTTTAAAATCAGTTGAATTTAAACTGATTCCTGGACACTAGCTCATATACCTATTATCTCTAGTCTTGTTGATTAGATAGAAAAATATATCCCTTCCACAATTGAGGAATGTATCGAATTTACAATATACAGAAAAAGAGTGGTCGTAAAACACCAATCACAATTCTAAATAAATGACGAACTATAGAAGGGATAGTATGTCTATTACTCTTCGAGAATAATGCTGTAGTGAGAAGTGTTGTCCTATCTCTTGTAAGAGTTGCTGTTATTGTTGTCGTCAAATGTGCAAATTAGATAGTAAATTCTGCTTTTATAATCATTTCTAACAGTTCATACTAAGACCTCAATGATTTTTGCAATGAAATAAATACAAGCAACTTTTTTCCGGTCAAGTTGTTGATTGACATAAGATTGATTAGTTTGAATCTAAAACCATTCGTCGAGTATGATGAGGAGTGATATCCTTCTTCATGGAATAATAGTATCGAGATCGAGTTGAATCATAAACTTGATCTTGTTCTTCCAATAAATGTTGTTGTCTACACTTTCCAAACCAGTAAAGAGAGTTACAGTTATATATAGAGAATATTATCTACAGAGATACAAATAACGATTCTGCAAGTACTATTGTATATCGTTGATGTTTTTGGTGAGAATCAAAGTCAAGACTTTTGGCTCATAATACTATCTCTGTAGTCTATTAAACTAGAAAGCCATTTCTTTCTTTTTTCACCTTATATCTTTCATCATCTATTTTCTTCCAAAGCAAATTGTTGTATTCTTTTGTTCAGCGAGTTGCATAAAAGTTGAAATGAAAGGAAACATTTTCTTCATCTTGTACAAAAACATTTCAACATGAAAAAGAGATTCAATAGCTTGTATCAGCAAGGTTACTTTGCTTCTTTTCGCAGCTCGTTTCTGACCAATCGTCTACAAACTAGTTGAATCTTCTTCTAAATCAAATGATTCTGTAGTCTATGAATAGTATAGTTTATCGTGTCATACTTTTTTACAATAAAAGTTCAGTTTTTAGTGTTCAGTAATTATTACGACTTTCTTGAAAAGATTAGATAACAATATGATGACTACTCTCCGACCAGTCAATAAAAACAAGCAATAGACTCTTAGCAAAATAACTTTATTAAAAAAATAATGATTCTATGACGCAAGTTGAGCTTGGTACCAAGACAGCAAAACGAGAACGTGCTCCACCAATATTGATAGGAACAATTGGATTCAAACAAAGTTCAATTGAATTCCGTACAGATACAAGAATGGTGGATGCTGATTGATCTATGCTCATCAATAGTAATATGTTCTCAATAATCTAGAACACACTGTCATTCAATATGAAAGTCAATCCACAAATGTACCAAAATTGATTTGTGGACAATCATTTGCCCAGTAGTGCAAACAGCAAATAAATATAAATGGGGAAAATTGATGCTCTGTTGCAATTCGGATTCTCTACCTAGTGATTCTCGAATGAATTGATCTTCGACTTGATTCTAAGTAATCCAAATAATAGTCTGTAAATCATCCTTTTAGATTAAAGACTAAATTATTTTAGACAATTCAAGATAATCTTGGACAATTCGACGCTGAATCAAACATACAGGGAACCTAAAGACCACATAGAACACTGCTTCGGATATAAAGACTCTGTACATACAACAGCAAGATTTCAAATGCAAAGGTACAAAGTCTTTATCAACTCGACAACTAGTGGTCAATAAAGTATCAATTCTACCTTAAAGAAGCCATCTTATAAAAACACTATCTAACAGAAACTCTATTGGATAACCCAATGTCCACATAATGACAATTCAAACAACTCTCTCTTAGATACCCCTAAAAAATAACAACGTATATTAGTCTTACTATCAAACAATTGGTTTTCAATGAAAACGTTGATTCCACTTTTTGTGCATCGAGTTGTGCCGTTATCTTGTCTAACACATTGACTCCACTCATTACTAAGGCTATATTTTAATAGACAACTTTGAACGTTTCTAACAAGCAACGCATTAAAATTTGAATACTTGAAATAAACTGACATCTGATTCCTGATTCTTCTCTAGGAAACGAATATAGAGTACCCAGCAATGGCTGGTTGGAACGAAATGATACAACTAAAAGTACTTTAAAACAAGTAATTATGAATTGAATCAAATACAGTTTGACATATTTATATCTGAACAAACAACTAGTTAATATCAAAATATATAAACTAGTAGTAACATATTCGTGGCGCTGCAAAGGTATAATGCGATTCATCGCTTGAGTAGATTCGCGAAGCTATCTAGGATGAGATGATCAACGAAAACGTATCCATTATCGCAAATAGAGTGCAAGTATCGCGGAGGAATAATTGGACACTCAAACACTACCAAGTTTTTCTCAAACCAAGTCCTCAGCTCCCTAGTCTTCGGTATCCTTAGTAATAATACTACTATTAATACTATATGGCAAATAGCTTTTCTCGGAATAAGGACTAACTCGTTCGATAAATTCAGTGTAATCTCTAAGAATTCAAAAGTTGAATCAACTATAGAGGACATTTCATTTACTTATGAAACAGAATTTCATCTTGATGAGATATTCGACTAGTAATCAAAAAATGACCAACTCCTACACAAAAAGTCATCTTAAATGAACAGTATCAAGAAATATCTTACTTTCTTTCCATTGAACAGTAAATCATTGAATTCAGTATACAATTCAAGTAATATAAAACAGTAACCAGTTTCTAAATACGTTGAGAAAGAAGAAACCAAATAAACCTTTTCTTACGTATCTAATAGAATAATTAAGCCATATCCCCTTGAGATTTAACTAGAAGTGGTAAGATTCAGAGTACTCTAAAGCAAGTGATTATTACTTCCTTCAATACAGCTATAACCAGAATTGTTTCGGATATCACACTAAAATAAGATTCAAACTCAACTCATAAATAGAAACAAGGTTATTCGTACGGCATAAATACATTGTCATTTATCACTTGAATCAATTGTGAAAAAAGTCCAAGATAAAGAGGTGGATGAAAACCACCAAAGGTTGTAAAAAGGTTCAAGCATCAAAGGATATCAAAAAAAGTCCTGAAATTAGAACATGACTATCAATCTATGTTCTGCTGCTACTTGTGTAAAAATCACAGAATTGATTCTGCTTGCTGTGAGTGAGCAACAACAAAAACAATATAAACATAGATCTGATATTTTAACCCCGTGAAGCCAGGGAAGCATTCATTCACTTCCTTTCCTTGAATTTCTTTCAACTAA